AACGATGGTTCGTTCAAGGTTCTCTGGGATGTTACGTTCCAGATTTTCTGAAATGTAAATCAAACGAAGTCATAAAACCAAACCTTTCGCTTGCTTAATCGGTACACTCTTAGAAGACTTCAAGATTGTTTGATCCCTAGTAGATGAAATCAAAAGCCACGACAAAATCGATGGACATACACGTTAAAGGGAATGACAATTTGATGATTCGACAAAAGAAGTTTGTAGGTGGTTGGCTGTAGTGGCTTCGTGAGGAAGGGTGAGAGAACGATGGATTCAATGGCTTTCGAGTTCCGATTTATGTGGGTTCAATGCCTTCCGAGAGGAGGAGAAGAAATTGGGGATGAATGTGTAACGGCAGATTGAGAGGTAAATGTAAATTAGGGCAACCGGGATTTATTTTTTACTTTATCTGTGTTTGTTTGAGAGTAAAAATTACATTCTTTATTGTGATTGGTTGAAATCATTTCTCATGGATTACCAATAACAATATCATAGCCATTCATCTTAGATCCAATGGTCCAATTTTAGTCTCCTTGTTTTTAAGATAAATGTCTTAAAAGTTAAGGGACCCACAAACATATACTCTTTATAAGATGGTATATATATATATATATATATATATATATATATATATATATATATATATATATATATATATATATATATGTTCAGGTTCATTTGAGACCATTCTAATTTTGTGAGATCGTGAGACCAAATCTAAAAATAATTTTAAAATGCAAAATAAATGGAAAAATCCAAAAATTCTTTTTTTAAATATTATTTTCGGAACTTGAATTAACTAAATAAAATAATTAAAAATTAAAAAAATATAAAAAAAATGATTTTTTTTTTGAAAAATAAGTGAAATATTCTAATTGGAATATTACACTGACATATTCTAAAAAATAATTTTAAAATGCAGAATAAATGGAAAAATCTAAAAATTCTTTTTTTAAATATTATTTTCGGAACTTGAATTAACTAAAAAAAATTAAAAAAAATAAAAATAAATTCCATTTTTTTTTAAAATACGTGAAATATTTTAATAGAATATTACACTGACATATTCTAAAAATAATTTTAAAATGCAAAATAAATGGAACTTGAATTAACTAAAAAAAATATAAAAAAAAATTAAAAAAAAATAAAAAAAATTCCGTTTGTAACAATATACATTTTTGCAGTTAATTCATGAGTTGACCTTTTTCTTTTGTTCTTTTGATTTTTGACTTCATGAGCAGGATTCGTCATGGTAATTAAGTGTACACATAATTATGTGCATCTTGTCATTCAAAGTCTTTGATCCCAGGTTTAACTCTATGGATCCTAATGGTTGCAATTTCCTTACTCCAGGTATGCCCAATTTTTTTTATTTTTTTTATTTTTTAAAAAAAACTTTCTTTTTTCGGCATTTGGTTTTAAAAAAAATGAAATCTCTAAGGGTATTTTTGGAAATTTCTTTGTTTCCTTTTGGTTTGCTATACGAAATATCTAAAAAAATAACAAGTTAAAACCATCTTTTTTGTATTTATTAATTATGTGTACATTAATAAAAATATATATGTTTTAAACAAAAAAAATACTTGTATTGATTTTATGGAAAGTTCCATAATTCCAATTGTTATCTAACTGCCTTCTCCACCTACTGTGTGGTCTCGCAGCACTTTTTCGGTAACGAGAACCCACCTCTCTCTCTGTCTCTCTCTCTTGGTTCCAATGTGCCAACACCTCTAACGATGCTTTCCACATGTCTTATGATGTTGGTTACATTTTAATAGGATATGATTTCTGGTTTCATTCATCGTTTAGTTTATTTTATCTATTTCTTTCGTTCACAATGTGCCAAATACTGCCTTCCTTTGTCTAGGTATGGAAAAATAAAAACCTTGTTGATGAACTTTAGTATGCTCTTTCTCCTTTGTCATGTATGTGTGGCTTAGTTTTCTTAATAAATGAATATACTTTTGAAAGTACAATGCTACAGCTGGATTTACTTTAAAAGTAACCACCCAATTATAACATTGTACTTTCAAACCACAATAGTTTAATTAGAAAAAGAATAATTTAAAATAATAATAAATTCAGATATAGAACTTAAAGTAAGATGTTAAGATAATAAAAATACCTATTAGTACATTTTAATTTAGTTGTCTACTTAAAAATATTATTTTAATTTGATTAATTGTGGTTTGATTATATATATATATATATATATATATATATATATATATATATATATTATTGTATTATTTATATTTTGGAATAATTTTGTTAAGATTCTTTATTTTTTTGTTAAAATTTGAAGAAGCCTTTTGTTTGTTTCTGTCGGAATGTCGTATACCAGACAAACACAACCTGGTCTGTGGTTTGACTTACCACATCACAATGATTTGGTGATGCTATGGGTATGTTTCTTATTTCTTTTTTCTGAAATACAGTGTGTATGTTTACTCTATCATCGACTGTTTGGTTGATTTCTAGGTTTCATGTGCTTCCCATTTATTCTGGTTTTCCTTTGATTTTATGAAATTACGAGACATTCTTTAGATAATGAGGTCGAGGTTCTGTGTACGTGTGTCTATGAAGTAGATATAGTGGTGCTTACATCTCTGTCGAAACCCCTGTTGGCCGATTAATCGGATGAACTTTTCGTTTTTATTTTGTATTGACCCACCTCCACCATCCATGAACCCAAAATTTTGATATGTCTAATGTCTTGAAGTCAACAATCTCTCAAATTTCTTGAAGTTACTTACATGTTGTGTGAATTGGATGGTTTAAACTAATGTGTGTGGCTTACTTACACGAGGTTAGATAATAAGATTTCTTTTTGGGTGAAAATAGAATCTTGTAACATTAAAAATGAAAATAAGATTCCATATATAGTATGGTTTCTTATTCTGGTTTAAGTCTAAAAATCACATATGGATTTGTGGAGCATATTAGGATTTAGCTTCATAAGAAAGTAACTTTTTATATGAATTAAACGAAACCTCTTTAATAATGTTAATATCAATTCATAACATATGTAATCATAATTTCACCTTTCATGATTTGATTTCTTGAAACAACTACAATAGCAATCAAAAATTCACAAATGCCCTATTGAGTAAGAAGTATCTCTTTCATTCAATAATGCTAAAGGTAATAATATTCAAACAATGCTATTTTTAAGGAATAAAAATAATTGATACATGTATTTTTGTTGCAACGTCAAACTAAATAAAAGTTATCTCATCAATTAAGTTAATTATTTCCACCTGAATTTCACATATTGTTTTATACTGACAGAACTAAAATAATAAATCCAATCAATTTACTGATCAAGAACCAGTTTTGGTATACAAATATTAAAAATGTTAATGTTAATTGAAAATTGACAAATCCAGTAGATATCAGTCGAATATAAATTTTAAACTTAATAAACATACTACTATAAATATAAAAAATATTTTTTTTGGCTAAAAATCCTGTGACAAAAACATGAACCTTTCTTCCCATGTTTTTCATCGCAAAAGATCAAAACATTAGAATAGTGTCTTAAACAAAGTCAAATTATTATTAACTTGCTCTTATTTTTAAATAAATACTATTACCGCTATTATTATCATTATTGTAGACAACCCTCCTCCCCCTCTCGATAAAAAATTCAAAGAGGCATAATCATTGATTTTCGATCATCCACCGCTATGGGTTCCACTGCGAATTTTGTGGCTATGTTGTGGAAGGTAATTAGTTTTTATTTGTTGAAGTGAAACTATTCATCATTTTTAGACAGGAAACCGTTTTTCAATTTCATTGAAAGCCTATATGACGAAAAATAAAACAATTGGCTGAAGTACACAATTTGCGGAACAATTCAAAAGTAATAGTAAAACCCGGCAAACATTTCAAAAGCACTGAAGTCTATACATTAAATATGGTGTCTATAAAGTGTTGCACGATTAATAATGCACAATCAATCATGTATCCATGTATATTTGTAAAAATCCTAACTTTTCATTTGTAATTGTATTTCTGCTAGCATTACTCTTATTTATAATTATTTAGATATAGTAAACTATTTGTGCAAAAGAGCTAATCGTCTATAGAAACTAATTTTTAAAAAAATAATTACACCCGTCGCTTGGCGCGGGTAAACGGCTAGTATATATATATATATATATATATATATATATATATATATATATATATATATATATATATATATATATATATATATATATATATATATATATATATATATATATAAGCCGTGAGCTTTCAAAATCCCAACAAACCACGGTGACTTTTCTATTGTAGATGGTATGTGAAAATCGAGGTTCAAATCGTAAATATTGGCTTGTTGAACTTACGAACCATAATCACATTGGAAAAATTGTTACTTTCATTAAAAGTTTTAAAAATAGTCGAAGATTAAAAATGATTTAAATTAATATTATTATCTTGTTAGATAAAACTAATAGAGTTGCGATGAAAAAATAAAAAAATTAGTCAAAACATAAAACTATACAAATTGTTACGTGATATATGATGATTGGAAGTGCTCTAGCCTATAAGATGCCAAAAGAAATAAGATTATTACATTTTTTAGGTAATGGTCAATCTAAAACGTGTAGTCAAATAAATACCTTATATTACATTTTATTGTTTATAAGTGTATGTTGTAAAGTCTAAACAAAGTTACATAAAGTAAAGGTTGATACATTCAACGCTGTCTTTCCAAAATATAAAATAATTTACTAATAATCTGGCTTTAACTTAATATAAACATATCACATAAAAAATTAACGTTGAAACATTCAACGCTCCAAATACAATTTTTATATTTTGCCTGAAAATTTTATTTGATTTTATAATGTTTGCCACATTGTAGTGCCAAGATCAGTGCTCATTACCAACCCATTTTCTTTAATTACGAGAAAAATTTTGATAAATGTACAAGGAGGAAAGAGACCACCCGACCTACCTTGGCGAACAGCTCGCCGCCGCTGACCATGGAAGTTTCCGGCACCGGCGCCCACGTCCTGGTATTCCCATACCCTGCACAGGGACACATGCTTGCTCTCCTTGATCTCACCCACCAATTAGCCACCCGAGGTTTATCCATCACCATACTCGTCACTCCCAAAAACCTCTCACAGTTAACCACTCTTCTCTCCGCCCATCCAACCACCATAAAAAGCCTCGTCCTACCCTTCCCATCCCACCCTTCCATTCCTCCCGGCGTCGAGAATGCGTCAGGTCTTCCTTTTTCTGCCTTCAACGACATGATGGTCGCCCTAGGTGATCTCTACAACCCCGTACATGAATGGTTCCGCAACCACCCTACTCCGCCAGTAGCCATCATCTCCGATTTGTTTTTGGGGTGGACGCACAACCTCGCGTCCCAGCTCGGAATCCACCGTTACGTATTTTCTCCCACCGGTGCTTTGGGTTTGTCTGTGATCAACTCCCTGTGGCGTTACCTCCCCAAAAGAGATGACCCAACAAACGTCAACGCTCTGATTTCATTTCCAAACATCCCCAATTGCCCAACCTTCCCATGGTGGCAGGTGTCCCCGGTGTACCGGAGCTATGTAGAAGGAGATCCAACTACGGAGTTCGTCAAAGATGGGTTACGTGCCAATATGGCGAGTTGGGGAGTCATTATCAACTCGTTTAGGGAGTTGGATCGGGTATACTTCGATCACATAAAGGCGGAATCTGGCCATGATCGAGTGTTCGCCGTTGGACCTTTGCTTCCTTCTAGCAAGAATACTACCGAAAGAGGTGGTCCCAGTTCCAGCTCTAGCGACTTACTTTCATGGCTCGACACATGTGCTGCTCACACGGTGGTGTTCGTAAGTTTCGGAAGTCAATTTGTGTTGAACAACAAGCAGATGGAGGAGATAGCAGTCGGGTTAGAGAGAAGCGGCGTCAAGTTCGTATGGGCAGTGAAGGAACCCACCGGAGGACATGCTGCCGGAGCATACGGGAAGATCCCAGCCGGATTCGAAGATCGGGTGGCCGGCAGAGGGGTTGTTGTTAGAGGTTGGGTCCCGCAGGTGGCGATACTCAATCATGGAGCGGTGGTTGCATTATTGACTCATTGTGGTTGGAATTCAATCATGGAAGCGTTGATGGCCGGAGTTTTAATGCTGACATGGCCGATGAGCGCTGATAACTTCTCCAATGCGATGTTGTTGCACCAGATGAAAGTCGGTCTCAAAGCATATGAGGGAGCTGATACCGTTCCTGATTCAGGTGAGTTGGCACGGCTGTTTAGGAAATCGGTGAGTGAGGAAACAAGAGTGGAAAGAAAGCGAGTGACAGAGTTCGCCATAGCCGCCAAGGAAGCTGTCGGAGAAGGTGGAAGTTCGTCGAAAGATTTGGACCAACTAGTCCTCAACTTGTCCCATAAATGAAATTATATTTTGTTGAAAATAATGTAATAATCGATAACTTCTTTCAAATAAATAACGATCAGTTTGATATAAGATACCACAAGCTAAACATGTCACATTAATAATATATATGTATCAAGTATAAGCTTGTCCATAATATATATATATATATATATATATATATATATATATATATATATATATATATATATATATATATATATATATATATATATATATATATATATTAAAGAAATGAAAGTTAGAAACAAGTACAGTTCCTAACGTTTTGGCAAAACCTGTCCTTCCTTATCTTTTGTGTATGGTGTTATGTTATCTTTGCATTTTTTTGCTAACTATTTTTGGTTTGGGTAGTTTTTATCATTTTCTCTATTCTTTATAGACATGTGTTCATCGTATTTTCTCTTCACCGTTTATCCACCCAATCACATTTGGATAGGTGTTATTCTTCACAAATCATAGTTTAGCCGCCCAATCACATTTTTGATCGGTGTTATTCTTATTCACCGATTTTGTTGGCGAGTTTATATAAAAGCAGATGTACTGGCTATGACCACCACCGTTTCCCTCTTCTAGATGAACTCATCGGGTATATTCTTCCTCATCCAGATGTATCCTCAACCGTGGCGTTGTCTTGGTGCCTTTTGTTTTCCACCGCCATTGTCTACGTCCCTTCAACGTCATTCCTACCCTACCGATCAGATTTCTTTCTTCCTGAAGCTTCTCGCACTGCCTCTCCGACCTAATCTAATTCTTTCCTTCTTCCTTTGATGTTGATATTTCTGCTGATGTCGGTGGTGTTGGCTGCCACCGTCGACTGATCCTCTCTCCTACCACAACCACACATAGAGACCATAAATCGAACCCGCAGGGGTTTTCCTATTCGATTAGCGGTTCTTCTCGCACTGTGTCAGAGTTTAATTTCCACTATCGGTGATAATTCTATGGGGTACGTTCTTCCCGATGTTTATGACTGTATTGATTGTGTTTGACTGTTTGTGTATGTGAATTTTATGGCGCTCTGTGAATATTAAGGTTTGTTCTTTTTAATTTTGTTTTTTATTGTTTGTTGTGGAATTTGTGGTTTTCTACTTTAAGTTTTTGTTTTCCAGCTGGCGGATGTTCCGGTGAGTCCAACCGACGAGAGTCACGAGGGTGGCAAATTAAGCCCGCGAGTGTCGAATGTCCGAGCAGGACAAATTGTTGCTGATTGTTAATATCAGTCGAATCATGGCAAAGGCGTTACATGCTAATCCTGATGAAATGTCTAAGCATGCGAGGTAGATTATTCAGGAGGTTGTTTCTGCGTTCATCAGCTTTGTTACTAGCGAGTACGTTTATATACTCTACAACTTCTTCTGATTTTGATTTTTGGATTATTGAAATCGATTTTACTCTGTGTGGGGTCAGTAATAAGTGTCATAAGCAGAAGAGGAAAACCATCAGATGTCCACGTAAGTTTTTCCACCCATGTTTCAACACTCTAATTCAGGGCTTTCAACTTAAAAAAATAGAAAATTTCATTTAAGATGAATAGGTATGCACTGCCCACCAACTGTTTTGATTAAAAAGTTGGCTCCCTGTTTCCTTCAGCTAATGTTCCGTCCAACATTTCTTTTTCTTATTCAAGACCAAAATGCCCTGATTATATATTTTTTTATTCGGTTTTATATGGAGATCTATGTATAACATGAAAAAAAGTCTTTTACTGGTCAATGGGAAAAATCAGCTACTCTAGTATGGATTTCAACACTTTTTTTTACAGTGATACACGTATAGCAATGATTTTAGCTTTACATTAAATTCTTTGAATGGAGACGGTGTCCATAACTTGGACACTTTGGGCCCACTGATAGGAACCTACCTTCTTTTATTTGTATCCCACTTTAAGTGATCTTTTAATACAAATGATGTATGAAGAAAATGCTTGCTCCAGATAAAAAATAGTGGCTTACAGGTCAACAAGTTCTTGGTAATACTACACAATGTAGATACTAATTTGTTAAAAATATGTTTACTTTGATGAAGTTCTCTTTTATTTACTTATATATTTTAATTGCAGATCGCCCCAAGTTAATGAATTCAAAGAAGGTTCAAAGTGTTCCATTGACCGATGATGTTAAATTAAGGTTGGAACACTTCTCAGAAAGGAATAAACTCATTGAATCTGCATTAAGGGTACAATTTAGCATATATCAACCAATTTTTTATTTAAAAGGTACGTCCCTACTTTTTAAATAGTTTACTATCATTTCACAAACTTGGTATTTTTACACCTAATGGTTTGTATATAAGTTATCAGACCTACCAAAGTTTGAGCAGGTTGGAACAGAAAGGTAAGTTTCGTTAAGTCTATTAAAACCGACTAACAGTTAAAATAAACTAACAGTTAAGAAAGTGGAGAAGCACGCCAGGTGTTTTATACAATGTGCTTTTCAAACCTGGGTATTTGAATTCTGATTTTGTTCGGGTTTTTAAGTTGACATTAACACATGTTACTTTGTATAAAAAACTTTAAGAAAAAGAAGTAAACCATCAACATTCTAGTTTTACAATAACCAAACGAACACCATATTCGCTATCATATATCCAAATTCATTAAATGAAAAATGATGTATTTGAAAAACATATATAAAAACGACTTATAAACTTTTTTTTTTTGGTGTAGAGGCACTGGTATTCGATTTCTGTATTTGAGCACCAGTCTGATTTTCTTACTACTCTTTCAATGTTAATTTCAAATGGTATACATGTCAATGGTAGTGGTCATAATTGCTTACTCCTGCCTCTTGGTTATCAATCTTTTACATGAATACCATTTTTATTATATCTTAGTATATAATATGAACATGCTAATGGAGATGAGAAAGTAATCAAAGTGGCTATTATTTATTTAGGGCCTTTGGACTAAAAAAACATTGTGAAAAACACACGAACATGACATGATCAAATTTTGATTTCCACGTCTCTCTATTGATTTGTGTACCAGAAATCATATTAGTAGACTTATAAATCCTTGCCCTTCTTTTATATTGCAGGTTATTATGTATTTTGTGTCTACATTATCTGGATTTGCAGCCATCTATCGTGTTTGTGCTTTTCAATTGTACTCAATCAGCAGAAGTGATAACATGTGACATATATGTTTTTTGAGTTAACGTTTTGTCTATTTTTTCATGGTATGGACATTTTGCTTTCCGTCATCTATTTTGTTTCTTTTGAGGATGTCTTATGTAATTTGTGTTTTTGTTTTTGTTTTTTTTGGGAGTTGGGTCTCATCACTTTCATGTAGATTCGTATATTGGATCAGCAGGGATTGTAAGATGTGATAGGGATTCATTGTGCTTTTTTTTTTTTTTTTTTTTGTCTATTTTGCATGTTGATATTGCCGTTTTTCTCATTTTTTATGCTTCTTTTGTTTGTAATATATTTTGTTTTTTTCTTGCTGAAGTTTGGGTTCCATATATTGTGGTTGTATTTTCTTAGTGTATTACTTACTCGATGTACGCTCGTTATAAGAATTATATGCATAAAATAGCAACATATTGTATTTTCTTACTCCATATATTGTGGTTGTATTTTCTAAGTGTATTACTTACTCAATGTATGCTCTTTATAAGAATTATATGCAGAAAATAGCAACAGATTTTCATTTACCTTTTGTAAGTCGTTAGGAGGCATGGTGGGGATATTGTTGTTAACCGAAGGATTCCTGGACGTAAGGTAATCTTTTTATTTATATTTAATTATTTATTGAATTATATTGTCGTTCTTTTGATTTGTTATTTTTCTGTATTTATGGGTCCATTAAAAAAAAGGGATGATGGAAGGTGTAATTAATATGATTTCATGACTTCTTTGTCTTATTAGATTGAATATAAAAATAATGTTTAAGTTTTTTTAAACTTCTATAGATGAATTAATCATCTTCTTTGAAGCCGACAACCCGTTTGTGAAAATTAGAAAACATAACAAGGTAATATTTAAATCTTCAAAATAGATGATATATATTGTCATTTGTTTCATGTATTTCCTTATTGAGCTATTTTATTTCGTTTTTGTTATTTGTAGAAGGGATAATAATGGCTATATGAAGTTATTTGTGTACTTATAGAAGGATTTTGTTGAGTTTTGGTAACTGTGTCTTGAGTTTTGCCTTAACAAATGTGTGATTGGCTTCAAGAATATTGCATGTTTGGAGGTATCTAACAATAGTCGCCATTGTTCTGTTGCTTTTTTTCAAAAATCGACAATCATATGTAGGCTTTTGGATCTAAAACATCATTTTAACTAATATGCCATTTGACGTCCATCATATTTTGAAAGCTTCTTTAACAATGAAATTTGGTTGAACAAGTATTGCTTGGATGATGGTAAACATGATGAATAAAGCAAGGTTTATGAGTTGTGTGAAATTCCAAAAATGCCCCCATCAGAAGAAGAAGTAGACGGGTTAAAAGAGGAAAGTGGTTGTCATGAGGATGCGGAGCCATGGTAAAAGATAGGGGCAAAAAGGTAACTTGTGGAGTTTGTTAACACCCTCCATCAAGCGTGATGCAGATCCAAGATGATACTAAAGTGCTTCAATTGACATGAAATCTTGAAAAAATTTCTTCAAAACTGGTTGATAGAGTCTATTATGCTTAACTTTCATTCAATCAGCCAAATGGTCTTATAAAATGTCTTCAATACCAAGCAGAAGTGAGTGATAAAGTCATACCATTGTTATTTAGAAGGTGGGGGAAGAGATTGAGTGGAATAAGAAGACAGTGAAAGACTTACGTGTACATATGGAACAACCTCATTTCACCTTATAAATGATTATTCTAATGGGTAGTTTTTTATTGTTGATTGCAGGCCATACATCATATTTATTAGCAGCCCACCAACTTAGATCAGTTGAGCAACTTGGTTACATCATTTTCCTTATATTTGATTACAATGTTTCTTTTGCTTACGTAACTACTGATTTACCCCTTGCAAACTCTTTTTAAGAACCT